CAACACCTGTCACGGCCCATGAAGTCTGGCGTTCATGGTAAGACTTTAGGCGCCTGGATCCGGGCTGAATTCCCAAACGCCGCCAGCAGCTGTAGTGGTGGTGGTCGTAGTAGTCGTGGTTAAGCAGTAGCAAATGCGTTTTCCTGGGCATCAAGCGAAGCTTTAGTTGAAAAGCATGAGTTGAAATCGTTCCAACCGCCTCTCCCCGATAAAGATCCACACTCTCTGGTGGTCACAAACTTGCAAGCGTGGGAAACATTCACATGCAAGCTTTTTGAGCAAATCGAGGCGGCCCTTATTGAATGTGGATGTGGCAGAACATGCGGTGTTGCCCGGCGCTCCACCATAAGGGAAGCACGTGCCCTCCCGCCACATAGGGGCAGCTGCCCAGTTGACACCCGGGTCAAGAGTGCACGGCGAGCCCAAGCTTGTAGACACAGCCACCAAATCCTTGGGCTCGCTGTTCAGGACACAGAAACAAAGCAAAATGTTCCTAAGCAGAACGTTCACCCGCAGCGCAAAGTGAAAATATGTGAAAACCATCCTATGTCAAACAAGGCTCTGCTCCTTGAAGTTGTTCCTGCTTTTGGCTATCGCAGTTGTCGACTCCACATACATCATCGCAGGTTCCTGACCGGAAAGAAAGGTTGGCGTTTCGACGGGGGCAATGCCCTTCTTGCAAACTAAGAAAAAAGGGCAAACACCTACTACGATGTTGCCTGGTACATCTCCGTTTGCATCCAAGGCCTCTGTGCCTCGTGCAACACCTGTCACGGCCCATGAAGTCTGGCGTTCATGGTAAGACTTTCGGCGCCTGGATCCGGGCTGAATTCCCAAACGCCGCCAGCAGCTGTAGTGGTGGTGGCAATCCTGCTCGTGGTCGTGGCTGCCGTGGTAGCTGCCGTGGTGGCTGCTGTCGTGGCTGCCGTGGTAGCTGCGGTTGTGGCTGCCGTTGTGGCTGCTGTGGTAGCTACGGTGGTGGCTGCTGTTGTGGCGGCCGTTGTAGCTGCCGTGGTAGCTGCCGTTGTGGCTGCCGTTGTAGCTGCCGTGGTAGCTGCCGTTGTCGCTGCGGTTGTGGCTGCCGTTGTGGCTGCCGTAGTAGCTGCCGTTGTCGCTGCCGTTGTGGCTGCCGTGGTAGCTGCCGTGGTAGCTGCCGTGGTAGCTGCGGTTGTGGCTGCCGTTGTGGCTGCCGTGGTAGCTGCCGTTGTGGCTGCCGTTGTAGCTGCCGTGGTAGCTGCCGTTGTCGCTGCCGTTGTAGCTGACGTGGTAGCTGCTGTAGTAGCTGCGGTTGTGGCTGCCGTAGTAGCTGCCGTGGTAGCTGCCGTTGTAGCTGCGGTTGTTGCTGCCGTTGTGGCTGCCGTGGTAGCTACGGTTGTGGCTGCTGTGGTAGCTGCCGTGCTAGTGGTAGTGGTGGCAGCACCAGTTGTAGTACTAGTTCTTTGTGTGGTCGTGGGAGTAGTTCCAGTCTCCAGTACCTCCACTCCTTCAATCAAAGCAGCAGCGTTGGGCTCTGCCGCGGCAGGCAAGGCTGCAGCCACGTTGGGGTCGCCACAAACAGCTTGCAGCCTTGGGGCGAAAGACTCCGTGGATATAGAACAGAATTGAAATACAAACAAAAATATATCTGAATGCAAAAGAGTTTGTACAACTGTTAACCCCCTTTTAAGCAACTCTCTTATCTTTTCAAAACGATGAACACCCGTTTGAGAACAAACAAAGTCAAGTTGCAATTAATCATGAAACATGCAAATGTGTCTATTATTATCTTTGGCCCTGGTTCGCAAATCCTGTCGTGAAACGAGCGGCTCTGTCAGCATCTCATAGAGATTGCCCTCTCCAAACACAGGAACCGCATAAGATGCAAGGTAGCTACAACTGTCTGCAAGGTTGTCGCTCACAGCAGAGGCCCGGCTTTGAAGAAGAGACACGGACCCAGACAAGGAAGCGACAATGGTGTTCAACGCATCCACTAAGCCTGGTTGTCGTGTTGACTCCAAAAATGTCACAACACGTTTCCGGCTGTAGGTTGCAGCTTCAGCCTTTGACAAACAAATGCATAAAAGTAGTTCTCAGTGTTGCCATAAAATACCATTGGAATTATGCACATTAGAACTATGCAACAATGAATTCATGTTGCCAGTAAAGTCAGGCTTGAGACTTGACAGCGAGAAACCCGCTTTGTTGTTATTGTAAGTGTCATTGGCCGCGTAGTTGATGACAAAATCCGTTGCCAGCGACGTGCTGCCTGACATGCTGAACCATTTGTCGGAGAGGTCCCTGACCAATCTTGCATCGCGGCCAGTCAGGCTATCAGCCAGGGCCGAGAAGGTCGCTTCAGGTGCTTCTGACGGGCAAATGATGCTTGTCATCGCACCAGTGGAGGGCAAACATGGAAAGTTGGATGCAACTACCCATGGGAGCTTCAAAAAGTATTTACGATCTTACACTTATCACAATCACAACATTAATGTTCACATCAGAATAGTAAACAACCTGCCACTTAACATACAGCTCTCCGGGCCTCCGAAACCATGTGGTTAATAATAGATCCCGATTTTTAAGTAGGTTACAAATAAATAAAGAGCGGGTCAACTATAAACAAGTGTTCTCTGAAAGAATAACATTCCAACAATGAACTACACAGTGTCAATTAGAAAGTATATACTGTCTTACTCCTCTACTCTACAATAATAATCATGTTTCTTTCTAGTAGGTTGCAATAATTAACCATAATAAACCTCACTTTCTGCTCTACAGCAATAAACCTGCTTTTGAGTTTATGTGGCGTAATTAGTACAAATTAATATAGTAAACTTGTCTTACTCTTCTACAATCCGCCGGCCCTTGGGCGCGGCGTGTTTTAGGTGATTGGTTTGTATGCTATCCTAGTAGTAGTTTTGTTTTTAGTCTAATTGTACCCACGGCGCGGATTTTTGACAAGTCTAACTTCCCCCCCCTCCCCCCCCCCTCAGCCAAAAGGGCCGGCGGAACAATCCGCAGGGGTAAATAAAAACATGTTTTTCTAGGTTGCAATAACAAACTTGACTGGTCTACAATTATGCATAATGATATATTACACGCACGCATTGTGACATGCGGTCTTAGCCCCCAGGACCAGAATAAATAACGTGCAACTTGAGACCGGTAGGGCGTGGGCGCGTGGTCCACTCCGTTCACTCCGGCGTTCGCTGGTCGGAGTAAAGGCATGGAGCCCCTAGTATAGCGTCCTTTGCTCCTAGTAGCGATGCCAGGAG